TCAGTATCTGAGTGAGAGTACTTTGCTGAGTGCTCCAGAATGAAGAACAGCTAGGAGTGGAAGTAATATTTCAGCACCCAAGGATACATTTATCTCTGAGTCACAGACCGATGATTATGGGAGGCAGTTTATATTTATGTTGATAATAGCATTAACCGGATGACTTGACCAAAAATTTGTGAAAACTGAGTTCTAGCTCTCCTTCACCACAAGCATACAGGATAAACTTGCATAAGTCGTTTCTGACTTTAGACCTAGTTACAAGAACTGCCAACAACCTGTAACTCACCCTAAAATCACCAGGGGTTGGAAAGGTCAAGCACCTTTGAAAACAAACTTTCTTATCTCTGTCTTAGTCATCTCACCTATGAAATAACAATATTTTCCCATCCCCTGCAAAGGGCTCTGAAGCCCATGGAAGGAAAACCCTACTTAAATAGAAATAACAAGTATGATATTATGAAAAAAATAGTCCAAATAAAGAATGAGTTTCCTTATTTTTAAAACAAAACAAAACAAAAAAAAAAAAACAAAAAACCCACCAACCAAAAAACAAATGCGGGAAAGCCATAATTCCAGGAATGAGACACAATGTAAGAAAAACCCTGGGGCTAGTTAGAAAGAAAAACATTCTGCATAGAGGAAGAAAGCAAAACATTAGCAGATACCACATCTAAGTGAGAGCTATTTTAACTTACAAAAAGGATCAAGTGCTCTTCAGGTAATTCAGCAACCTTGTAGCTCAAGGGTATGCTACCAGCCAAGGGGACAATTCAGCTCTGGGTACTTTCTGTTAGTCTGGGCAAAAAGCCAGCAGCCATGGAAAGGAAAAAGCAAAGGCACAAAAACCCACAACCTAAAGTTACAATATTCAGTGATACCAGAGTTTGTGAGCATGGATAATGGATAACACAGATACCAGCACACCAGCTACAATTTTTTTGGAAGAGGTTTACAAAGAACCTTACTCAGCAGACACTGCATGGATGTAAACAGTTCTCTGTAGCCACTAGCAGGGCACCTATAAAAAGGGAGCCTGATCCACTGGATCTTCTGCTACACTTCTTCCAAAAGGCTTCCTTGGAAAAGTTTTTCAAGGTTTTTCTGGCTTTTTTGCCAATCACTCAGGCTGAAGGCTAGTGTCCTTACTCCTCCCAGCAAAATTCTTTTCCCTTTGCTCCTACAAATATTGGCGAATAACAGTCTGCCATAACCTGGTCTCCTTTTTGCTGCCTTCCCCATGCCAAAGTAAGCAAGCAGGCAAAGGAGTCCCTGCATCTGAAGAGGCAAAGGCAAAGTAGCCGATTCCTGCATGAGTCAAAGCTGATGAACTCTTTCCCCTCCTGCTGTTGCTCACTTAAGCTTTTTCCCCCTCACAGCTCTCTACCCCACACAATGGAGACAGTGACTTGAAGGTTTCTTCATCCCTCCTGTACCTCATCCAAGACAGATTTCACTGGATGACCAAGTGACAACATTATCACTGGTGACAGTAAGGAAGACTGGCAAGAAAGCTGAAGATCTCACTTTTTGCTGTATTTAAAGTGGAGAGGCAAGGAATGATCAGAAAAAGGGAGAAGGAAACGTAAAAGGAAAAAAGCACAGCTAAATTTCAACATCTTTAGCACAAAGTGCAGAGACAACAAAAGCCAATGAATTCATCGGATAAGCAGGAAAGAAGAATAGAGTTTGGGGGACCTTCTGCAAAGATGTCAGGAAATTAGAAAGAGGTTTCACTAAAGATAATGCTGAAAAAGCAGTTCACAAAAAATAGAAAGGCTCACAGGTAAGACAGCCTTTAAAATGTGAAGCAAGTGAAATAAAAAATGAGAGTTTAGGAGACCTTTATGTTTGGATATGCAGAAGCTTGAGTGAGCCATGGGAAGGTAGTGTCAGAGGTATAAAGCAAATGTAGATATAAGTAAAGGCACTGTACCATTGTAGGAGAACTGATCGAGGCAGAATATCATTAAAATTTCAGTTGTCCTGATTTTCACTCTAGACTCTGCTTCCAGGTAAATATTCCGCCCTTCAAAAAGTTAGTTTGGAACTATGTACTGGTTTTGGTTGTATGGTGTTTATTTGCTGGCTGGGCTTAAACCATGACAGACCTTTTTGGCGCCCAATGTGGGGCTCAAAGGGTTCAAGATGGCAATGGGTTTGATTGGAATATGCTGGATCGAGTTTATAGCTGTTACTGCTGTTTATATGTTGGTTGGCAGACTCCTGTGCTTCCCATGGGGCTTGCTTGCCTTACTGTGTGTTAGAGTCTAGTACTAATTAGTGGCTGCTTTTTGGTTTTACTGTCTGCTGTGGTGTTGCACTGCTTATCATCTTACTCTGCTGTGCCTGGGAACATTTTGATAACAGCAATGGCAATGCGCCTGGGCTAGCAAATGGCCAGGGCTTTGCTACTGTTTCTATGCTGCTGTGCTGGACAGGCTGGAACTCCAGCGTGACCTCGAGTCAAAGGCAGGGTGAGAGTTCACATGGGAGCAGGACACCCCAAAGGTCTGTGGCTGTGAGTAAGTCCACACCAGAGCAGGTACACCTTGAAGCATGAGTGGCTGTGCATGAGGTCATGCTGGAGCACCTCAAAGAGTGTGGCCATGGATAAGCCCACGACAGAGCAGATACAGTCCTGGAGGGATTGCAGCCATGGGTCAGGCTACGCTGGAGCAGGTATATCTCTGAAGGCATTGTGGCCCGTGGAGAAGGCCATGCTGGAACAGGTGCACCTCAAAGCGACTGTGGCTGTGGATAAGTCTGTGTTGCAGCAGGTATACCCCTGGAGAGACTGTGGCTCATAGATAAGGCTCCACTTGGAGCAGGTACTCCCCTGAGGGACTGCAGTCTGTGGGTAAGTCCAAGCCGGAGCAGGGACAAGGGAAGTAGTTCATTGCAATGTTAAATCTGATGGTCTGGCAGAAAGGGACCAGGGATGGAGCTTGTAATGGAAATACCTTTAAAATGTTGTAACCCATGATTTAAGTTGCATGTTATGGGAATTACTATAGCAGGAACCACCTGAACCAGTGGAGGACACACCTTACAAGAAGCAGTGCAAGTGAAGCTGCGACCTGACCTGAGCTGGCTTTAATGCCCATTAACTCCACCAACACACCACCTCTCCTGTTTCGAGTGACCACCATGAGATGGAGCCCAAGATCATGGACTAAGTGAACTCAGTGGACATTTGTGGATGTTTTAAAGACATTTTACAGGGGTGGTCCACAAACTAAGGGAATGATAGCTATGTATTATATCAAAGGATGGGGGTGGTGGGTGGTGGTTAATGAGGTTGTATTAGATAGTATGGGACCTGAGTATGACATAAATGGTATGGAATAAAGTGTGCAGAATGTGCTGATTTTGGCTGGTATAGAGTTCATTTTCTTCACAGTAGCTGATATGGGGCTATGTTACAGATTTGTGCTGAAAACAGTGTTGGTAACACAGGCTTGTTTTAGCTGTTGCTGAGCAGTGCTTACACAGTCGAGGCCTTTTCTGCTTCTCACCCCACCCCACCAGCGAGGAGGCTGGGGGTGAACAAGAAGTTGGGAGGGGACACAACTGGGAGAGCTGACCCCAACTGACCAAAGGGATATTCTATACTATCGAGGTTTAAGCCCAGAGGTCAAGTGACACCACTCAGCTGCTCACTCACTCCTTCCCTCTCAGGGATGGGGAGGACAAAATATAACAAAAGGTTCAGGGATTGAGACAAGGACAGAGTGGGATGTCTCACACATTATGGTCATTGGCAAAAGACAGACTCCACTGGGGAAGAAAAAGAACATCAATTTAATTTGAACACCACCACCACTAATTTACGAATCAGAGGAAGACAGTGAGAAATACAACCACATCTTAAAAACACCTTTCCCCCACCCCTCCCTTCTTCCCTGGCTCAGCTTTGCTCCCGATTTCTCTACCTCCTCACCCCCAGCAGCACAGGGGGGCAGGGGATGGGGGTAGTGGTGTGTCCATCACACTTTGTCTCTGCCACTCCTTCCTCCTCAGGGGAGGACTCCTCACACTCTTCCCCTGCTCCAGCGTGGGTCCCTCCTGCACACTGCAGTCCTCCCAGCACTGAATTACAACAGCAGGGGCTTCCCTCACAGTCCCAGCCTTCTTCAGGTGCAGGCAGCTGCAGGTGTGCATCTGCTCCACCAGTGACCTCCATGGGCTGCAGAAGACAGCCTGCCCTCTCACCATGGGCTGCAGGGGGTCTCTGCCCTGGCAGACCTCCTCCTCCCCCTCCCCCCTTTCTTCAGCTGACCTTGGTGTTTGCAGAGGTGTCTCCCTCACCACTCCTCCTCCTCTCAGGTTCCCCTTCTTAAATACATTAATGCAGAGGCACAACCACCATCGTTAATTGGCTTGGCCTTGGCAGAGGTGGGTCCGACTTGGAGTTGGGGGAGTTTCAAGAAGCTTCTCACAGGAGCCACTGCTGTAGCCCCCATCCCCTGCTACCAAAACCCCAACACATACAAACTCAACACACAGAGGGGGAAGAAGAGGGAAGGGGGTTCATTCAGAGTGATGGTGTTTGTCTTCCCAAGTACCCATTACACATGAAGGATCCCTGCTTTCCTGGAGATGGCTGGACACCTGCCTGCCGATGGGAAGCAGTGAATGAATTCCTTGTTTTGCTTTGCTTTTGCATGTGGCTTTTGCTTTACCTTTTGAACTGTCTTTCTCTCAACACACGAGTCTTCTTACTCTTACCCTTCTGATTCTCTCCCCCATCCCACTGTGGGGGGAGTGAGCAAGCAGCTGTGTGAGGCTTGGTTGCTGGCTGGCATTGCTCCATGATGAACTGAAATCAAGAAATACAAATAATGGTGACATATATAATACTCACTCATGAGACAAACTCATGTAAAGATACAC